AGCCTCTCGCCGCTCCAAAAGGAAGAGACAGTCGAGGAGGCAGCAGCCAAGTCAGAAACGGCACAGTCCATCTCCCAGACACGTACGGCCCATTGTGTGAAAAAGTTTCGCCGTTACCAAAAGTACCCAATACCGAGGCCCCTAATACTGCACAGACACCAACGCATGAACACGCAAACACATAACACACAAAAAAAAATGAAAATGAGAAGAGACGCTATCAATGGTGGAGTGTACACTGTGTATGCGTTCGTCACTTCCGGTCTGGTTAGTGGAGGGGTGTTGGCAAAAATCAGACACTCATGAAAACACATTCCAATAAAAAAAAAGTATTCGACGAAAATTAAGTGGGAAAATGAACGAGGCGTGATAAAGACGAGGGCGACGGCAAAGAAGCTTCAGCGTCGTGCGCTGACATCTCGGAGTTCGCCTCGATATTTCTATTTATACGAAAGGGCCGTTGTTTGTTTGTTTGTTTGTTTGCTTGTTTGTTTGTTTGTTTGTTTGTCTGCCCGCCTGTTTCTTTGTTAATATTTTGTTCTTTTGCCCCATGGGGCATCGCCATCTTCTCATTGGGTAAAGAATCGTCCGCGATTGTATCGTCTGCTCTCGGATGCCCCTCACGTCGCCGTCTGCAACTGCTCGAGGCTTTCGAGAAACGGCGAGACTTCGGTCCCGCGCGTAATGCAAGGAAAACAACAAGCAGCGCAGTTTCGGACGCACAGATACCCAGATGCACGTGAGGCAGAAAAGAAAAGGGCCCGTGGTGACAAAGAAAAAAAGGGGGAGGAGGGAGGGAAGAAAAAGGGGGGGGGGGGGGTGCGTTTTAACGGCACTAGAGTGTAACGGCGGCTGACAGGGGTAAAATGAGCCGGCGTAATGCCCGGCCACGAATACAATCTGGGCTTCCTCTCAAGGAGGCCGTCTAAATTCCATTCACGGCTTTTCCCTTTGTGAGCGCTGGCCGTGTGCGGCCTCTCTTATCCATGCGAATGCTGGCCCCGGAGAACGCGACGTGACGCTTCCCAAGGGTGCGGCGCCAACACCTCCCCCACCCCCCCCCCCTTTTCCTCCCCTTGCGTGTGTGTTTTTACGCCTTGGGCAGCCCGCGCTCGCGCTTTTAATCTATAGCGCAGCAACTTGCAAAGGCAAAGCAAAAGTGGGCGGGAGGGGAGGAAAACTGATAACGACTCACGGCGGCACAGAAAAGAAGTATTAACGTGACTTGGCCCAAATTTTGAACTTTCCAAATCGAAGCAACGACTTGGACGACGTTACGGAGCGGGGAGGGCGCAGAAAACGTGTACGCGAACGTTTCGAAGCCGGAAGAGAAATATATTTGTAAGCGAAACGTAAAACAAAACCTCATACAATCTAAATAAGTTATCATAAAAATCATAAATAAATACCCCCCCCCCCCCAAAAAAAAAAAAAAAAAAAAAAAAACAGAAAGATGTTAACTAAAGCTTTTTGGTCAAAAAAATAAAGGAAGGAAGTATCTGCACTTTTAACGGCGTGAATTTGATCCCCTTTACCCTGTTTCGTGCCTCGGCCGCCAGACCACGCCAATTTTCGTCGCACGCTTGGTTATGCGGACGTTCCCCGCTTCTCTGCTTCATGTCTTTCCCGCTGGGTGGAGTCGCCTCCTCTGAAGTTGTGTATACCTCGGTAGAAAATAGAAAAACAACAACGTTCTGTTAGTGTTTTTATTTTTTTTTTTTATAACATGCATTTTTGACTAGACGAAGTTGTGTCTTATTACTCTGGAAATATATGATCACCCGCTAGACGTGCGTGTTTGCTTGCTTCTCCGTGAAAAAACGTCGAATGGTGGCTTGAGCGCGTCTCCGACTGCTGTGTTTAGTTTCCTACACCTGCTACGCATTCAAAGTAGACCTGAAATGGCACCACAGGTGCCGACGCAGGGGCAGGCGTGTCACGATGCTTAGAACGCCGCTGTCCCGGTGGTTGATCGTAGTAGATCCGGCAAAAAGTACGGGCCAACGCGGGTGTCGCTCGTCCTACGGATCTCCATGACGTGGAGAACGCGGGAACCACCGCAGCGGCGCTGGTGTCGGTGCAGAGCATGCGCAAACGCAACGCTTCGTGCAAAGCTGGTTCCTGCGCACGCGCAGTGCACCCATCTGGTGTGCGCAGACGCGGCCTTGTTTGCAAACACCTCCGACTACATTAGGGGGAGGAGGTTGAAGCCCCAGAGCCTTTCACCTGGCCGGGCACCTGGTGCAAGGCGCCCCAGCGAAACGTGTTCCTTGGCCTAATCAACAGCTTCCCCTTCCTGCCCAGCGCGCGGAGGTAGTAGTATTCAGAAAATCTTACCGCATCTCGAATACCCGTTGTCAAGACAGGTGGGACAAGGAACGTGCGCGTATACATGGCTTGCACGTGTCGTCCGTCCGTCCGTCTTTCTGGTGGCCAGAAGCGCCTCGTTAGAGACCGACGACCAGTTCGCGCTTTCCACATTTCCCTCGCCTCCTCCTCTCCCCCCTTCTACCCTGTCCACCGTTGCCTGTTCCCTACTCCCCCATGGTGAGGAGGATCTTCTGCCTTGCAGAATCTCGGGCCTGGTCGTCGGCCTTTAAGGCAGCGGAAGCTACCCTCTCACGAGCCCTTTGTCTCGTTTACTTCTGACCAAGGTACGCCAGTGCAAGCTATGTATAAGTTCAATCTTCAAGGCAATAATGTCGAAGAAAGACCCATGAGCGACCTGTAAAGCATGGGCGGAAAGCATAGGCATAGAACTTCGTGGTCGGCGCCAATGCTGGAAAGATACTTGTCCAAGCGGAAGACAGCCAGGCTGAGCGGCTGAAAACAAAATACGAGTTGCGTTTGACTATTGTCGGACGTCAGCAGTCTTGGGTAAGTTACTTTTAAAAAGTAATTTGTTACAGTTACAGTTACTTTCAGAAAAAAGTAGCGAAGTTACCGTTACGGTTACCGCAACAAACAAGTAACTCGTTACAGTTTCAACTGACACACACCTCGCTTACATATTTTTCTTTTCCACTCAGTCTTAGGAATATAAACGCTGCATCCATGAATCTTGACATAGGGACCAGTATCGCGCTGGTAGCGGCTTGCACGGAAAAAAAAAATTAGAAGACCGTGCAAAAAAAAAAAAAAAAAAAAAAGTCGGATCACGGGATTTCACTTTTCTACAATCTCGTAAATCCTAAATGCTGCTGCGTGCTCATTTCATAACACGTTTCTAGAACGCGCGAGTTCTTGAAGCTTGCTTCCATCGGAATGAGAAAAGAAAAGGCTGTGGAGTTTGATAATCATGCATCCGGTTTCGTATAGGCACTTAGAAGCTAACATATTTGTGAGACAGCGAACTCTTCTATTTTAATATTTATCCTATTACGTCCTTCTGGCGTTGCGTTCGGTGAAGTGTTTTTCATATTCCGTATCTTGTTTAATGAAAACTTCTTTAAGGTTCTAATTTGAGTTACCGAAGGCTAGTTCAAATAAAGAAAGCTGCATTTTCTCCCCACTGTTCCTTCAATTGCTTACACGCCGAGGTGGCGGGATAGTTAGCGAGTTCTACTTGTAAGTGGGTTTGTAAGGAGGTCGCGGATTTTACAGCTACTGCGTCGGACCCAATTAGATGAAGTCCGAATTCGTAAACGTCGGTGAGGTAACCTTTGAGTGCACATAAAGAAACCATTCCTGGTAGAAATCCCTGAGCCTTACACTACGATGTATCCCGTTTTGTATGTGGTGATTCCAGATGTTTTATATGTAATTTATTTTGATGTTGCAATTTGTCATTTATAATTTCCGAACCGGTTCGCGAACCGGTTCAGCGCCCCGAACCGATTCGCGGATCGAATTAATTGAACCGGAACTGAACCGGAACAAAATAAATTTACCTGAACCTGAACCGTAACCGAACCCGTATTTTTTAGGTTCGACACACACACACACACACACACACACACACACACACACACACACACACACACACACACACACACACGCACACACACACACGCACGCGCGCGCGCGCGCGCACACGCACACGCACACACACACACACACAATTATTCTTTTTTGTTTTAGGGAAGGGCGCATTCAAATTAAGTTGATCTATGTAATTCAAATTATGATTTATATCAGGGGCGTCAGAAGTGTTATAGAGGGTTTTACTTCCCCTTCCTTATGCAAAAAAAAACATGGGGGTGGGGGAGATGGATTATACCAATTTAAATTATCTTGATTTTTCTTTCTTACTCTTTATTGGTAGTTATTGCGCACGCGATAAGAAGTACGCTCACTGTCTGTAGTCCCTATTTCAGGCGTCCTACACCTGTAATCTCGGAGGCTGTGCCGGAACGCACCAAGTTTCGGGTTTGAAAAACGCGCCGAGGGAGCAGAGTAGCGCAATCCTTTGAACCCCGTGTTTTGCCGACAACATGGCCGACAGAGCGGCTCGGCGCGAGTGACGTAGTACTCAGGGTTCCAGGAGGCGGCCCGCCCTATGGGAGAATACATGGAGATCGACACAACACGGCTGATTAAAAAATGAACGGCGAGTTCACACTTTTCAAAACTAGTCTGTCGTGAAGTTATTAAAGCATTAAACACTTTATGAAGGTTTTAATAATATCGGATGCGTGTGCAAATTTTGAGAAGGCAATTTCCAAGGCAATGACGTTTGAAGCAGACGATTTTTGCTCGCAGCGGAGATGGGCAGATGGGCTTTTCAGGTTGGCCGGAGCGGGTCACGTGAATGGTGTGACGTCACCGTGTCGTCTGCTGCATAATGCCGCTCAGGCAATTTTTTTAAAAAAAGGCAGGTCCTTGCGGGGCACAAAACTTAGCGCAAATTATTCTAAAGTGTTCCATTATTATGTCATAAACGATTACCATTCCGTACATCCCCACAATACTGAAGAAATAATGATTTTCTCACGTTCTCCATGCATTTCTGACCGCAGTTGGAACCTCCGGGCGTTCGCCGCTAGTCGCCGAGAGACGGCGTTCTAGATTGCGCTATTCTGCTCCGAAGGAGCTGACTCCACAATTGCAACAAAGTGGACTACATCCGATAACGTACTAACATCTAAACCTAATATAAGTAATGAAAGTGTGCTTAAAACAAATAATTCGAGAACAAAGGAAGCAAATAGACCGCCAGATTTGACAACGTTCGAGAAACGAGAGGCGGCGGCCTGACCGGCCTGACAACGCTGGGCACCGGAAACACAAATGGCGGCGCTGCGCCGACGATGAGTTGATTTGCGCTTGCGTGTTGTTGGCTTGCGTACTTCGGGAGGAGTCATGAAATCTTCGGATTTGTCGCGTTTAAAACGCTGAGGATCCGTTTTCGGGGTCGCGCTGGCTGCAGCGGTGTCGATGACACAATGCGCTTCAATGAAAAGGAGATGGCAGGAGTGGCGACCGAACAGGCCGACAAAGAGGGACGCTTGAACCACCGCAACTTGTCCTTCCGAGAGGGTAAGCGTCTCGCAAAACTAAACTCATCAATACCGAGTGTGTTTCTATTCCACAAGCACTGAAATCATATGGCTATGACGCCTGGACGCAGGTGCGTCAAGGCGTTGGTGCGTCGCGCAGGACGAGAGCGAAGTGTGTACTGGTACGAAAGGTGTATGTAAACAATGCTCCAGGTTGTCAAAGTGGCTTCCTTTCACTAACGCTGCTTAGGAGTACAAAGCCACGCATCAGTGTCGCGACGTTCCAGCTATCCTTGTGCTTAAAATAATCGCTGTCAGTTTTCTGCGGATTTTTCTGAAATGGCAGGAAACGGTTTTCCGTCCTCCGGAAATTTTGAAAACAGTCCACCGCAGAGCGAGCCAATATCGGCCGAGCTTACTTAAAACTTTTTAATAAAGCAATGGTTATTTATTTCTCGAACTTTAATAGAGCATTCGGGGATACATGCCCAATTTTGGTAATAAATAAAACCGTGTAACTTTTTTTTTTTTCTGCTGTGTTTGGATGACTTACATAGGTTTGCGGAAACGCATACCATCACTCGAACTGTTTAGAGACCACGTTTTGTTAACGAATGAGCTTTTTGTCCTTCCAACTTTGCACCAAACCTTCTGTTTTAATGTTAGGACTTTTAAACTTAATCACGGCTGACGGTGCCCTTCGCCCCATACAGTGTTCAAGGAAAGATGGTTCAAGCTCAAGGGAAACCTGCTCTTTTACTTCCGGCTCAACGAGTACGGAGGCGTCTATGAGGCTGAGGTGAGCCCCTTTTCTTTGCTACGCTTAGTTTTCTCCGTAGTCACATTTTGCGAAGCCTCGAACGAGGACGCCGCAGCAGACACACAGTTCCCGCAACTGTTAAATGCGTCCTCAAGTGCGGCCGGAGCCATCTAACAGCAAAGCTAGGATTGGAGCCTCCTAAAGGCTCTGTTATACTCCGACATTGAGCACAGTGAGCTCAGCGTAGTGCAGAATATGGGCCTTTGATTGGCTGGTGAGCAGGAACTCGATATCTCTGCGCCGCACTGCATTGGCTACGCTTGACATTAGAGTATAATGAAGCCTTTAGGAAATGGATGTGTTGCACCGTCAAATGACGCTAATAGGTAGATAGCACAAGAGGTCTCTTCAACTGCTGCTTGCGCATTGTGCTTACCAAATGCGCGCAGTGCACGAGAAAGAGCTGGTCGTACCACTTTGCTCGCATGTGCTTCCGTTTGTTCTCCGTCCCATTAGCACGTCCAGTAATCGAATACCTGTTCATTCACCCACCGTCAGCCCGTCGGGGTCTTGGTGATCGAATGCTGCAAGATTCAGCACGAGCCGAGTGTCGACTGCTCCTTCGCATTCTCCATCGGTGAGCTCATTTCACTGGGGTTTCTTTGCACGCGCTAGCTGCCTAGGTGGCTTCGAGGCAAAAGCGCTGGCCCACGGATCCCCAGGTAGCGGGTTTGAATCCTGGCCGAGGTGCTCGCAATCTGACGGAGGCTTATTGCGGAGAAGGTGCCGTGTAACCGAGCTTTCACTTGCACGTCAAAAAATCCCCAGGTGGTCCAAATTTATCCTCAATCTTCCGCTGGGGCGTGCCAGATGCCCATCGTTGGTTTCACACGTAAAACCCTCAAATTTGACTCTGTTTGCATGTGCTCTTACTGGCGGGTAACACAACCGGGGGTAAACGGAGACGCCAAGTTTTTGTTGGGCGGCACGGTGGAAAATTACCACCCTTCTGTCGTTCAAAACCGTCGGCTCCAGTTGCCATTCGTAATCTGCGGCGACGACCCGTTTGCATCCCACTCAAGCTAGGTCACATTATATTTGAGTAGATCCGGTAACAATCCTAAATTGATGCCTCGAGTTCGGGACTCATATTACCGGCGTCTCTTTCCGTTTACCTAAAGCCATGGTCAGACTGCGTACTTCGTACAAAAGACAAGGTGTTCGCATCACACGTGATGCCAGAATGACCTGCTGACGCTCCTCAAGCATGTTTAAGCACGTCTGCTTTCAAATGTGTCTCCAGACAGTTTCTGTGTGACCAATGGTGACGGGGCAGCCGTACGAGGAAGAAGCATGCCCGTGTGTTCGGACAGTCTTTTGTACGACGTATTTGCGGTGTGGCCGTGGCTGTACGACTTAGTTGGGCTCGGACTCTCATATCTTTGTGCCGGTCGCGCAGCCTTCTCGGACGACGCGGACCGGAAGCACCTCTTCAGCTGCACAACTCAGAAGCACTGCGACGAGTGGGTGAGCTGCCTCCAGCAAGCCAGGTAATGTCGCCCGTCGCCCAGAATGATGCCTCTCCTTCGATGAAAGGGAACGAAATGTGGGAAAATGAAAGAAACAAACTCGCTTTAGTGCGACAGTAAAGGCCGTCTCGCGCGCCTTGAGTGTGAGTGCGAATGAGTGCGTTGCAACCCCTTGTACACCTTATGACGATGATACGGCATGCTGGCACCATCTCTCCAGTAGCCTCAGAACAATTGCTAGATGCGCGTATTTTCTCAATTTTCCTGGGAGCTTTCGTCGTCGTACGTGGTCTCCAAAGAGGCCATAATCTAAAGTATGCGGATGAATGAACGGTTCCTGTTCGGACAAATCAAACTCTATGAAGGCTCCGAAAGACAAAATCTTTGGCAAAGCCGGGATTTGAAATCTGGGTCTCCCAATATCCAATATTGTTTCACCCTGTGCTTCAAATAATCTTGGCAGCATTATAAGAGGCAAGTTCTCTCAGGTAGGGGGTAGATTTGTTGTCGCAGATACTGCAAATCCTTCAGTATACCATAAAGTCCCTACAGGGTGCCCACCCAAAATAAAGAGATAAATGGTGAAAAACACGGGCATCTTTGGGGATGAGACAGCACAACATCTTTGGAAATGAGGAAGCAAAATTTTATAAAAAAAGTTTATGATAAACACAGGGGTACCTATGATGCAGGAACTGACACCGCAGTTCGTGGACACTGCAATCTCACGTTTTGAAACGCAATAAACACGTGGGAATTCATTATAAACTCTTTTGTCATAGGAAAGGATACCTCAGACTGCAGATGCTGCAGATTCGCATCTTATGGTGCAGTAAACACGTGGAAAGCGGCTACAAACTAATGTGTTATGGGAACAAATATTGTGCACGCAGATCGCAGACAAAAAATAGTGGGAAGTCGCTATGGACTTGCATGTTAAGGGAACCGTGGTTGGAGTGGCTGGCTTTGGTTTCGGGTTCGTCGACAGGGATTAGCTTTCCGAGACTTGAAAAAGATTGAGCATGAGAGATCTGAGGGGCATGGTTTCACGGGCATGGTATGTGGTACACTGCATTTCCGTACATAAGATGTCAGAAATGACAATTGATGAGGTGACAAATGACTAATGCAAACTATTATTTTATTGTATAAAAGTTCTGCTTGTGTGCTTCTTTGTATTGCCCCCCCCTTATGTAATGCCCCTGGCGGGGCCTTTAAGGGATAATAAATGAAAAGTGTTTAATGGGGCAAACTTGTTCCCAAATCAAAATTAGAAAAAGGCTAGTGTCGCAGGTGTCGATGGCAGCATAACAGCAGGATCAAGCACTGGGTGATACTGACTCCCTACGGTATGGCGCAGCTTCTTTTGAGCTTTCTCTGGGAGCCTAGAGCATTCTGCCTTGATTTTTTTCCAACTATAGACCAACACGCGAAGCTGACGTCACGCAGCTGCGGTGGCGCTGTCAACGGCACTGCGCATGTGCAGATGCTTCACATGAATTCGGTTTGTGCGCACGTGCAGTGCCCACACCTGGTGTGAGCAAACACGGGCTCGTTTGTGAACAGCATGTCTGTCTATACATTCTGAACACGAATAAGCAAGACGGTTCTCCAACCTTCTGCTCAGGGATGGGCAAAATACATGCAAATATGTATTGAAATACAAATACAAAATACTTCGTCAAAAATGTACTTAATTTCAAATCTAATTACATTTCCAAAAAAGCATTTACAGTGGACTCCCATTAAACGAAACTCGCTTAAACGGAAAATTCGGATAAACGGAACTCTAAAGGTTGTTTCGGTTGGTTTCCTATGTATTTAATGATAAATTCTTCGGGTAATCGGAACCCCCCTTTTTGCTTACTTCGGTTAAACAGGACCGAAACCGAAACTACCCATGGCGACCGCGGACATCGGAAATAGCTACAGCAGTCTCACAACCATGGAGTACGCAATAGCCAAGACTGAGGACACTTTAAAGGGAAAGGGGTTGTGTTAGAACAAAATTTCTACAAATATTATTATAAAAAAAAAAAAAAAAAGTTGTTAGGCTAGGTGACGCGAGGTGCCGCTCGTTACAAAGGGTACGGTACAGCCATTCATCCATCCATCCAAGCCATTATATTAAGGCAATCCAATCCAGTCTTTCTACCGCCATTAGGGTTAGCGCCTCGTCTGTTGCGCGTCACATTTACCATCGAGTACACAAACCAGCGTCCGCTTGCCGTGTTGTGATGGAAGCGGTAAAAAAGCGGCCGCACCAAGCGATCTCGCTTGCTACGAAAATGAAGATCCTTCAAGAGCTGGATCCTGGTGACCTCTCGAAGACGGAGATCGCAAGGAAGTTCGATATCCCGAAGTCTACACTCTCAAGGATATCAAAGGACAAAGAAAAGATTCGACGCTGTAAAGCACGGAAGCTTTGCCACCGACCGAAGGAGGATGCGAAAGACGCCTTTTGAGGAAATAGAGAACGTCCTTTATCTCTGGTTTAAGCGCGCGCGAAGTGCTAATTACCCGATCAGCGGCCCCATCCTCGGAAGAAAAGGCTGGAGAGATTGCGTCTCAGTTGGGAATAGATAACTTCAAAATGAGCGACGGTTGGCTCAGCCGTTTTAAAAAGCGCCACGGCCTAGTCTTTAAGACTATTTCTGGGGAAGGTGCAGCAGTCAACAGAAACCTTTGTACCTCCAAGGCATGCACACCTACTTCGTCAAAAAGCGATTACAAAATGCAAAACAAACTACCATTACCTCTTTTTTCTAGTCAGCTACATTAGCTGGACATCATGCTTGTGAAATAAAGTCATATTTCACTCATTTTATGTGCTTTGCTTTAATGAAACTTCTGATAAACGGAACAAATTTTTCTGTCCCTTCGAGTTCCGTTTAAGAGGAGTCCACTGTAATTACAAGATACAAATACAACCAAATGTATTTGGTCTCTCTCCCAATACTTTTCCAAATACATTTCTCAAAATTTGCGTCAGCGACTTCAGGGCACCTGCAACGGGTTTCTGGGTATCTCAGTTTAATTTTGCATCGCACACTCGGGAATTAGTGTGCGAGGCTCTAGTAACGTAATAGAAATATAATAACAAAAAAATGTAATCAGCTTGGACGTAATAGGTGAAAAAAGTTCAGAGCTTCAAGCAGCTTTTTTTGTCGATTACATTTTGGTATAGACCAGGGGTGGCCAGGCTGACCCGGCCTATCAGCCGCATACAAAACCAAGAAATTTGTAAGAGCCGCGGGGGGGGGTATGAATGACGTCAACTCGGACTTCCGTGACCTTCAACAAGACACAATAGGGAACATCCTTTATCTAAAGGGAACACTATATATCACCGGCGAGTGACGACGGCCGCGAGACTGAACATTTCCTCGACCTCAAGCCAAAGTGCATGCATGGTTTACAGTCCCTGTCCTTGATGCTTTCCCCCCTGGGGTCCAGCAAACTCCCTCGAACAATGAAAGAAACAGGATCTGTGGAAATATACGAGTGGAAAACGGGGCACAAGGCTGCCAAACCGCAAGCTGTTCTTTATTCTGAAATCATTGGGAAACGCGGAAAGGGCGGAAGGGGTGGGGAGGGGAGGGGGTGGGGGGGGGGGTCTTTTTACGAGGGATCCGCGAGCCGCACTTGGACCAGCGAAGAGCCGCATGCGGCTCGCGAGCCGTGGTTTGGCCACCCCTGGTATAGACCAACAAAGAACTGGTACGACCAAGACGCGCAGCACTAGCTAGAGTTTTTTTTATTGTTGCAACTCTCACCAGTTACGAAAATCTGGACGACCCGCGCATTTAGAGTGTTCCAGGCAAAAATATGGATGGAAATCAGGCTGGAAAGCATCACAAGTTGTCACAGGCACTTATTTAGCCAGTCTGCCCATGAACGTCGATTTCGTCGCTATTCTTGCCGTGGACTAGCGCCGTAATCACAAAGTCACTAAACGCTTGTGCCTGATTGACAGACACTGCATTTGGTGCAGAACATAGTTTTCTTCCTGCTCTGGACAGTGACAATAAATGTGATGGATGTATTTTCGCCCACAAAATTGTATTTGAAATACCCACGTTGTAGTATTTAAATACAGACGTCAAATACTTTACCCAATTTGTAGTTAAATACAAATGCAAAATACACTAAGTATTTGAAATGCGTATTTAAAATACTTGTATTTGAAATACTGCCCATCCCTGCTTCTGCTTATATAAAGGAATAAAAAAAAGTGACAAGCGGTGGCCGGGAGCTAAGCACGCTGCCTAGTTGGTTAGCTGCTCACGCGGCAATACTACCAGGGACAAAAATGCAAGAACCCGCTGCAAACTCGCTTGTCACTCATGCACAGGTACCAAAGATTGCGCGGTCGATGCAATTCCTGTCGGACAGCGCGTGATGTTCGACGGAGATCAGATTGGGTGATGTTTCGGAATTTTTATTTTATGGATATTTAGCCAGAAAAACAAGATGGGCGATCTCTCGGGAGAGGGCGTCCTTGCGAGATTTTACGGTAGTTATGCACAGATTGAAAGTGTTCCAGTGCTTTACGGTAAATGTGTCAGTGTGTTTTCTCGTCTTAAAGGAGCTGTGCAATCTTTTCAGTGCTTTGCTTAAATAATTTGGGAGTTGGTGCCTCGACCCTAAGTAGAGGACAAAACCGCTTTTGCTTGCATGCCCTAGTGTTTATAAAAAAAAGAATGACAAAGATTGGGGTTTTTCGCACCTTTCAGATTCTTCACTATCTTTTGAGTCACGTGCGCAGTGTCGTGAAAGGAGATGCACGAGGTTCTGGTGAAGCTCTCTCTCTAGAGCTATCAGTGAGCAGCGAGAACTCACCCGTTCGCGACCACATGCTTGTGCAGCGCGAACAACTTGGTGAAAGGAAGAAAGTCTCGGCCGGGTCAGGCCAGTCCCCTCCTGCTCTGCCCCTGTCCCCCTCCGGCTTCTGGCACACATTCGCGGTAGCGGATAGAGCCGACGGTTTTGTTGACCTCGGACAGATGGCGCCACTAACACTCCGTATAATAAAAGTTTTGTTGATTATTTCAGGTTTTTTATGCATTTATATTTATGTTGGAACGACAAGATTTATGGAAAAATTACCTTTTATCGAGCAGGTATTTGCACAACGTGCAATCTTTTTAAAAGTCCCCCTTTGACGTCACGCTGCGTGGTTCTCATGGCCGCCGCTCGCAGCTGCGGGTCAACAAACATTCTAATTTTTGCCTCACGATTATGCGGAGGAATTGCAACATTTCGAAGGAAGGAGGTGTGTTTCCTGTCTTTTGTGACAAGATAAACGACGTCAGAAGTAGAAGATACAAATTCTTTCCACGTTAAAATCGTTGCACAGCTCCTTTAAGCAGTCGCACGCAGTTGGCCACATTGAAACGCAAATCAGTGAAGCAACCTTAAAGGGATAGTGAACCGAAATTTGGATTTAAAAAAAAACAATGCTGGAGATGTAGGCGGGACGCTACAATCCCTACAACACTATTAGTAAGGTGATATCTCAAATGGACGGCCGTATTTTTGGAAAAAGAAGTCGAGATTGAACCAGGCCGACGAAGCGAGTGACGTCAAGATACCTAGTTTCCTCCTCTCTTCGCTTCGCTCCCTCAAGGCCGCGAGGCAAAGAAGACGCGAGGCCATTCCTCTCCTTCTCGGAGAAACATGACATTAACATTCCTGCCAAATGCGCCTCTTTTTTTGAAAAATACGATCATCTGTTCGAGATATCGCTGTATGAGTGATGTTTTGGTGTTTGTAGCATTCCGTTGCACGCTTTTGCCACGTGTTTTGGGGAATCCACATTTCTGTTCAGCATCCCTTTAACCCCGTGTCAATACAGAAATTCCACTTTTTCGGGCATGGAAGCTTATGAGTTCTGGAACTCCTGCCGACTCAAGATTCATTCAAATAACAAGTATAGCCAAAAAATGAGTTCTTTTTTTTCCCCATTTGTTTTTTTATGGTGGTAATTATTATGAACGTGCCTTTTAGGCATCGGGCTAAATTCCACCTATGCACTGTAACACTTGTCTTTGTTTTTCAGTTACGAATACCAAAGGGGGAGGCTGCTGTACATGCAGCAGAAGATACTCGAGATGACCGGACGAGTGAGTCAGAATTTTCTTGCAACTTATGTATTACAACGAGCGCATTGGTGGCTCAGGTGATGCCAGGGGCCAGAATACACGAGTTAGTCAAGATTCCCTCTTATGCCCACCGTATCCTTCTCCCTGGCATCACCAAGCCACTAATAGGGTCGCTGCGGGGCAATTTTCATCTTCTTCATATAATGCATTAGTTCCGGACCTGCGCTGAGGGGATCGGTGGCCAAGTGGTCTAGCGCACACCAGCTCGGATCACGTGGAGCGAAAGCTCGCGTTGCAGAACCCAGCATCCTGGGTTCAATCCCCACCCCTGCCCGTTTGGTTCTGGATGAGCATCGTACCGGCGTGCGGTCGTGTATCACTACTGCATGGTGCACGTTAAAGACGCCATGCTAGCAGTTGTACCGCACCGGCTAAATTGGTCATCTACAGCTGAGACACCAGATGCCCACTGAGGCAGACTAACTTCCAGCTGTATAAAGATACACACCACAATTTGCTTTTGCGGAGCTGCGCTTGTGGGTTTCTTAAGTGTGCTTTTTCTGTGCCTTCATTCATGTGCATGATTTTTCTCATTGTGTAATAGGAGCTTCTTAAGATGCTTCTTAAGATGAATCAAAGTATCTACTGAAAGAAACTCGTTTGCCCAAGATTGTGGGGATTTAAAACCTAATTCTGGCCACTTAAAAACTGTAACATGGTTCAGTTTGTTTTTCTTTTTTGTTTAACGCGTTTAAGGGCAGGAAGTTTCGAGCAAAGTGATGGATCGCCACGGAAACCATCACAAAAGGTGTAACAGGGACTTCAGAGGACAATCTGTATGGATGAAAAAATAATTGAAAAGAAAGCACGAAATTCTAGACGCACCCTGACAGGAGCCAAACCCACAATCCCATGATTAAGAGCCTGACACTTTACTGCTGCGCCGAAGGGGCAATGGTAGAATGATGGCGCCAAAGGGCAGTGGAAAACGCTGGACGCCTGCGCTCGGCGTCCAAACGTGCTTGAACGGTGAGCAGAGAGGAACCTAGCTTTGCTTCTATTCTCTAATTATTCCCACCAGAAATTCCTGCTCTGACGTCCTCGCGCATCAGGTGCGTTCAGTAGCGACTCCCTCAGCTCCAAACAGAGTAAGCCGAGTCAGAGTTCTCGGAGAGCCTACTGAACGGCAAAAAAACGCGGCTCTCAGCTGCTCCTAGGCAGTTTCCACTTCCTCTCCTGGGGCAGACGGTCTCCAAATAGAATGGAAGCAGACGACGCCGAACACGATGGCGTTTATTTGATGCCGATATTGAAGTCTCAACAAGGTCGTTAGAGAAACACATCGGCGCTGCTCTTCAAAGCGATCCAAAGCAATCGAGTCCTTTGCATAGTAGTACAAAGCCTGCCACTGTTAGAGAAAGCGACAAAAACGTTGTGAACACGCAAATTATAGAGCAGAATATATAAAAGTATTGGTTACGATACTTTGATACGGTCATACGTTTGTTCTGCACTTCTTTACGAACTTGCTATGAAATGTATCCGTATACACACTGGTAGTCAGCCACACTTGGTAATCAACGTTTTGTCGTCCAAACCGAACACCGGCCGGAGTCTCGTACTCACGTAGGTACACCCCGGTTGAGGTACGCAAGCAAAACATTCATCAGGATCATGTCCCGCGCGAGTGTCCAACCGCGAACCAAAGTTGTGTTTCTTACCTTGCCTCGCTCTGTTCAGCACGGACAGGACTATCGTCGATGATCACCGAGTTTGCGCCATATTAAAGTTACGTGATTTATTAGCAGATACAAAACAAAAGAAATGTGCTCCGAGATATTTTCCGAAAAGAGCTCGAGCAACTAAGGAAATCCGAATGCATTATTAATTTCACCTTGAGCACTTTTCATTAAAAAAAGCGAGCAAACCACAAACCCACGCCAGCGCAGCTTCTCCCACCATTTTCCTTTGTTTTTCTCTCTCTGCACTAGAACTCAATCCACAATCTGGAATTATTTATGCCTTGCTCTTTTGACTCCTCGTGCACCGTACTTGGTGCACGGTAGCTTGACTCCAAGAACTCAGAGTTACGTGCGAAGGAAGTAGTTGTTTGCCGTCTAGTGGAAGAAGCATGGCTCCTTGACTCCCAGAGCCGCTACCGAACATGCCCATCTCCTCTTGTTTACCAGTTTCTATCCATTTAACCTAAAAAGAGAAAAGAAATCATAACTGCAAAATTTGCTACAAGCTCCAAAGAACGTTGTGGAGACACATTTCATGCATACCGACTTTATCCGTACGATCAAATAATTTTTTTATCTCCGTCTCTGTCAGGATCAAGAGACCTTTGAGGAGTGTAAAAAGAAAGGCTCGCACTTTGTGCAGGATCCGCTGGCGGACTTCATCAGTCGGCGGAACGGCAACGCCCCCGGAAGCGTCCAAGCCATCCAAAAGATCCCGGACAATCCAAACAAGAGCGCCACCGTGGGCAAGTGGCTCGCCTTTTTCGGAAAACAGCGGCCGCAACTGTAGCTTTCACGCGCTTGCACGATCCAGCTGTCGTTCTCTTGGGGCTTTCGACTGTCTGGCTTGGGTTGGCTGTTGGTTTGCTTTGCTTTTTGCGATGCTTTGCTTCGAGGTTTGTGGTGTTTCCGTTGCTTCTGTTGTTTGGAGCGAGTTTAAAGCGAGTTTGTGGAATAAACGGGTCTTGCTGCTTTCACTACCCAACTGCTTGAATGCATGGCCTTACAGACTTTGTCTCCTTTCTGCTTGGCTGACGGACTGAGTGACATGCTTGTGCCGTTTCCGTCCTTTACGCTTCTGCCCAAGTCTGCACTGTTGACAGCTTCCTTTTTAAGCTGAGTTGTAAAAAACATATTGTACCATCCACATCTTTTTTTTTGCTTTTTTTTGTTTGTTGTAGAGCATCTCGTTTAAGGGAGGAAGCTACCCAAAAGGGTAAACTTTCGAACCTTTGGATTAATATGGAAGAAACTTTCAGTATACCTTTCCTGTTCCAAAGCAGAATGCAGTGCAAAGTTTTATTTGTGTATGAATTGTGAAGTAAATTATAGTAAATTTTAACAGGAACACATGGACGTTGTTTAGGAAAACTATTGTTAGAAAACGAATGTAATACCCTGAGAGTAAACATCTTCGACAGAAATCTGTCTGGTTTGGGGAACAATTCGAAAAAGAGAAAACTCAAAACAAAAGTTCAGAAAGAAAGAGTTCCCAACGTTTGGGGGTCGACTTGACTCTTTCTTCTGGGTTGACTAAAAATGGAATGGGACAGCGTGAGCTTCGACCTCTCCTTCCTCTTCTACCGAGGTGATGTTTTGTGAAAGTGGCACAGGCCATGGACAGATGGTAAGGCCCCAAAGGGCCTGTTAGTGTTCGCCGTTGTGTTCTGGACATGCCACAACTCCAAGAACAGATGTTTTCGAATATGTTTCTCCGTGTCTATCACGTGCACATTCCCGAATTCGATCCAATGATCAAATACCTCACAATGTTCCGCGACGGCGCTACGTGCACGATCGAAATTGAGCACATTGTTCAGGTGCTGGCGCATGCATTCAGGAAAAGATTTAGTTTCACCAATGTAGGTGGCGGGGCACTCTGCACACGGTATCTTATAGACCACGCCTTGTGTTTTCTCTTTTGGGAGGCAATCTTTCGGCCTTGGCATGAGCCGTCCTAATGTTGATACTGGCTTGTGCGCCACTTGGATCCCTTCTTTTCGGAGCACGCGTGCCAGTGTCTCGCTCATACCTTTCACATAGGGGACGCTGATGCGCACGATAGGGTGGGGCTGCGTGTCATCCGACGATCCATGGTTATTGCGCGTGCAGCACTGTCGACGGGCGACGCATTGAACAAAACTCTTTGAATAGCTGTTTTTTTTTGGAGGTCAGCAAGTATGGTCTGTTTCTCCTTTCTTCTGTCTCTTTTTGACGAGCAGATGGTCATTGCTCTAGACAAGCGAGCAGAGACCACTGACGTCTTGTGACTCGTTGGGTGGTTTGAGTCAAAATCAAGGTAGCGTCCGGTGTGTGTTGGCTTCCTGTAGACCGTGAATCCCAGCTTGTCTCCTTGCCTTTTCACCAGAGCATTGAGGAACGGCAAGACTCCATCTCTTTCCTTCTTCAAGACTTCTTTTGACCAGCCCTCGGCCCCGTACATTGCTGCAATGCCAATGTACGGGGCCGAGGGCTGGTCAAGCCTCCTTTGAGGCTTTTACCCTATGCTCCACCATGCTTCATGGAAATAAACTATTATTATTATTATTATTATTATTTCGTATTCTACAGTGAACATGATGGCAGTTCTATGGAATTTAGGTGTGCGAGGAAGTGGTTTACCTCTGATTTCTTCAAGATGCAAAAGCAATCATCTACTTAGCGCATGAACTCCTTTGGCCTGTTGGCAAAAGTGCTAAGCACTTTCTGTTCAACCACTTTCATTGTGAGGTTTGCCGTCGTGACACAAATAGAGGCACCCATTGCCGTTTCGCTAACTTGTTTGAAAAGCTCACCCTTGAAGCTGAAGTATGTACTGCCAAGGCAGAACTCGAGGAGGCGGCATAGCTCATCCACACTGAGGCTGGTTCTTGAGCCCAATGTTTCGTCTTTCTCGAGAACCTCTCTGGCTGCAGCAACTGCTAAGGGAACTGGCACGCTGGTAAAGAGTGACACAACGTCGAAAGACACAATCGTGTCATCATCGCAGAGTCTCACTTGCGAGGCACGTTCCACAAGGTGGCCGGTGTTCAGCCTATGGGTCGGCGTATTTCCAACAAGGGGAGCTATAGTCCGGAGTAGGTAATTCGACAGCGCTCGGAGCGGTGAGGTCGTAAAGTCTACGATAGGTCTCAAGGGGACATAAGGTTTGTGGGTCTTGGGTAGTCCGTAGACGCTTGGTGCTGAGCCATTCCTGCAGATGAGATGCAAGTAAAGGGATTTCGACTCTGGATATTGCTTGAAAATGTCAGACAACATCTTGTTAATGTTCCGTTGAATTTGGGACGTTGGCTCGTTCTTGAGCTTTTCATAGGCCGGACTTTCCAGAAGATCCCGTGCCTTCTGTTCGTACCCCTCCCGGTCCAGGATGACGGTAGATTTTCCTTTATCTGCCGGCAGTAGCACAATGTCTGTATCCTCGCAGAGCTTCTGAAGCGCAGCAGTTTCATCGCGAGATAGATTGTGGCGTTGCCTCGGCCAAGGTTTTGAAAGGATGCCTATTGCTTTAAGTCGTACACCTTCCCGAACGCTAGGGTCTGGGCGCGCATTGCCGTCTTCCACAGTGGCAATCATATTTGGTAGAGAGGGCCGGGTCATGGTCATGCTGAAGCCTTGGCCTTTTGCCAAGACTTTAATCTCGCAGGGGGAGGGTTGTCTTGAAGACAGATTCGTGACAAAACTGGCGGTGTCAGCGCCTCCCCTTTATGGGCCTTTTTTTCTTTGCTTAGAAAGCTTCTCTTAAGATGCTTGTCGTTTTTCTGTAGTAGCGGAGGTGATGCTGGAAGCGAACGACTGCAACGACGGAAGCCAATGTCAACATTAGGACGGCTCATGCCAAGGCCGAAAAAGCACAAGGCATGGTCTACAAGATACCGTGTGTAGAGTGCCCCGCCGCCTACATCGGTGAAACTAAATATTTTCCTGAACGCATGTGCCAGCACTTGAACAATGTGCTCAATTTCGATCGCGCGCGTAGCGTCGTCGCAGAACGTTGTGAGGTATTTGATCATCGGATCGACTTCGGGAACACGCACGTGATAGAACGGACCCACATATTCGAAAACGTCTGTTCTTGGAGTTGTGGCATATCCAGAACACACTGGGGAACATTAACAGGTCTCTCGGGGCCTTACCATCTATTTACGTCCATGGCCTGCATCACATTCACAAAACATCACCTCGGTAGAAGAGCAAGGAGAGGTCGAAGCTCACGCTGTCCCCTTTCATTTTTAGTCACCCCTGAAGAAGGAGTCAAGTCGACCCCGAAACGTTGGGAACGCTTTGTTTCTAATCTTTTGGTTTGACTTTTCTCTTTTTCAGAATGTAATACCCTGCGTTTCTCTTCACTAGATACACAGCAGAATGCCTGAAAAGTGCAACTGTGAAAACAAAATTTCAGCAAAGGAATTTATTTTATGCTAACATTACACTGAAAAATCAAATAAATTGTTTGCCTTTCATTTTTGTCGACAATACTTTAACATATTTTATAAGAGACATCCTCAAAGTAAAAAAAAAACAAAAAAAAAAAACATTTTACAGGTGCATTGTCTTTTAAATTTAATTTAGGAAAAACAATGAGTGAGCCTTTCCTTTTGTCTCATTACCAAACAATAGTTATTCTAAAGTGAAATTTATGCCAAAAAGTGGAATGGCAAAAATGCATTCAAAGCGCTCGAACTCCTACCTTTTCTTTAGCATTGGTGGACCAAAAATAATTTATAAAAAAATAACTATGCAGTGTAAACAAATGAAACTTTCTAGGAATACTCTTTATATGTTGGTGAATGTAAATATAGCGTTTTCCGAAATCAACTTTTTTTTTTGCAGGAATTTTGTTTTCTGGACAGTGTTCCCCCTGAAATGACAGGGTGGCTGTATGTTTGGCATAAACATGAACAAATACAAATTAAAAAATCCTGCCAGGTATCAGTTTAACAACTGGAACTTGCCGATATTGCGTACAAGCTTGAGGCAAAAACTTTGGCTTTCAGGAGGTGCTCCGCTGTTGCTTTCAATTATTGAGAGGACACATGTAAATAAGAATTGACAATACTTTCCGCAAAGCATAATGTACGGAAATAAATGGCAGGCAGAGCAACAACCAAATACTGGGGAAGGGCTGCAGAGAAATTTTCTAAATGGCTTGGCTCCTTGGCGGAATCAAGCAGGCCAAGTCTTAGCTTCCGTACATTTTCTGGAGTAGTGTCCCGTCATGGCTGGTGCTTGAACCTACTGATGAGATGTATTAGCATAAGGTCCAGGAGCTCTATTTAAAGGGTAGCTCCCCTCAATTTTTGTGAGGGAAACGGGAATTCCGGTTAAGCTTGGTGTCACATTGCTTTTATTAAACTGATAAACAAAGTTTTTCACACGGGTAGACCCTGCTTGTGTTGCAGGCAACAAACGGTGGGGCCGATGGCAACACTGACATGGCGCGCTTTTGCAGTTTTTAGTTTTTCTAAATGAACGCCTTCCTACCCGCAGACAGCGCGCTAGGGGATGTCGGCGATTCCTCGAGCTCCCCGTAATTACGACAGCAGACGGTTTGGTCGGGTCGGCCCAAAGTGGTCTTGTGCTGACCCTATGCTGTTTGTGCTGCAGCCCTAAACCAAAGTCACTTGCTTTCGAAAGTATGTATGTATTATGATAGCACTGTCTATTTTTAACCACTGACTGAGGACACACCGGCATATTATCTCGCGTCGTTGGCTGCGAAAACCATAGGATGACGAGCTCGTAATTCAATTCAATGAATTGGAAACTGTAAACCAGTGCCATGTGCGGCGGATTCGTTGTAGTCATTTTCAGTGCGAACGTTATGAACGTCACTTGGGTTTGTTTTCTGGCCCTGGCTTTGCTGCCCAGATGGGGATTGTAGTAAGAAACTACTGAAACCATGTAACCTTACAAAACAATGAGCACGCTGTGCTGCACGCCACCGTTAGAGCCAGAATCAAGCATGTCGTGTCTAGAGTGTTCCGGCAAACGTCCATAAACATTTTAAAATGCATGTCTATGCATTTTAAGGTTGGCCTTCTAAGGCATCAACAGTGTGCATATTTACTCAAACTTACATGTTTTTGCACGAAATACTGGGAAGGCGCGGCAAAGCTCGTGAAGTTGACAACACTTGTGCAACTATATGTACGACATGGTGGCTCCAATGTTGCCCACCATAATTGAGGTTTCGGTTCATCATCTGTGATATTGTCTAAACAAAATGACACAGAAAACATTTCGATTCTCGCGAAACGTACGATTTAGGGTCAATCATTAGTGCTTTGAAGACCGAGATTGCCCATGATCCCGAAATCTTTAGAATTCAGCAGATTCGCCCTCCAATTACCGATATGGAAAAGTAATGTAACTAGACAAGTTTTCGTATACGTTAATATCTGCGAAGGCCCTTTACAGATTGCTGTAAATCAAGGAAATACTTTTAACTTCTTTATTTATTTACTCTCAGGGCTGTCGGACGTTACAAGAAAACTGGGCAAAACAAAGTTGAAACGAGGTACGTTAAAAGAGCAGTTGCAACAGATGACACTTCAAATGGCCGCTCTGCAGTTTCCACTCGAGCAATACACTGCTTTTATTGGAAACACTGTCAAAGCTTGGCCATCACCAACATGGGAGCCATTTTATTTTCTTTACAGGGGCCAAGAAAAGGACCACCGTGTGGCACTGACCGTCGTCGCAATTGCAGCCTCATGCCTCGATCATCTCGTGAACATTGTTAGTCTTGCACGAATCCGGCTCTTGAAGTTGCAAGAAACGTGTTTCAGCATTGAGAAGGGGGACACCTTACACAATGCCTCGACATTGCATCATGTCACAACGCAGCACATGCATCCGACTTCGAAACTGTTTGTGCCTTTGTGGTTCAGTGTTCATGCAAGCTTTCGTACAGAGGGACAAAGCTGACTCTTCATAGATTACCACGAAGTTATGGCGCTAAAATGCAACACTCTGTGGTCTGTTTCGTCTTTTTCTTTTTCTCTTTGGAATTGTTTTCTTCGTACTTCATACACACACTGCTGATTTGTGTGTGCAACATATTCTCTTGAGAAAGGGAAGCTGGAAAATGGTGTGCATAGTGGCGCTAAATTTGCTTTAGCAAAAATCTGTTACCTTTATACTAGTGTAATTTGAGCTAGAGTAGGTAGGGATCAACTGTGCCCAATTAAAGCTAATAGAAAGAATGCTAACTGATACCAAACCTTGTAATGTAAGTGTGACACTTACGTTTTCGTTTCATGTCCTAATGCAACTGTACTTTGTTTTTCAGCATTTTTTTTTGTTTTGGTGTCATAGTGTACAACACAACTTCAGCATGCTCTTCAGTGGGGAAAATGCTAGACCAATTACAGTGCTTAGTAATATGGGTCCATTCCCATATAGGTGTTTTATATGTTTATTCAGGAAATGAAGTTTCGTCATCCTATGCAAATGGTTAGAGTCGGCGCTACATTCCAGCTTCTCTTTCCAATTCTGCCAAAGCCACTTGCATCCTTGGAAACATCACTTCGTAACAATCCATGGTTCCCATCACTTCATTTGATCCAATGCTGTGTATACAGCCTGTACATTAACACTTCAAACCTACTCGAGATGGTTCGAAAAAATTGGTTTCTCGATGTATTGTGCTACCGTTTGCTACATAGGTGTGGCTGGGTGATGGAAGTTTTGAGTGAAAACACTAATGGACAAATTTATCTTGTTCAAAAAATAAAAAAAAAAAACTGTTTTGGGCTGTCTGCCGTGGCATTTGCAGATGACGTCATGACCGGGCTCGCCTAGTTAAATCTGCTGCCAAAAGCGTCGAGCTCGGCCAATCTTCGAAAGCTTTTCTCTATGCCGGCGCGCGTCTCGGCGCGCGTCTCTCTAATGTTAAATTTTCAGAGTGCGATACTTTATTCAATAAAATAATTAGTTTACCTAATATGAAAGCAGGGATTTAAATCGCTCATGGCTCTCCATTTTCGGTACGGAGACGATCTGTCGAGGCACTGCACTACTCGTTTCTTGCGTCGTGCCATCTTTCGACAGCACAAACAACTAGGCGAGCACGATCATGACGTCGTCTGTCAATGTCGTGGCAGGTAGCGCAAAACAGGTTTTCCTTTTTTTCTTCTTCAACAAGTTAAGCTCATTTGTTGGTCTTTTTACTCCATGCTTCCACCACCACCTAGCCGCATTTCTGTAGTAAAAGACATAGCGACACACTCGTTGAGTAGTCCTTCAGTAACAACAGTTTTATATACTCATTTTCTTCCTTCAGTGATAAAAAGCTTCTGAAAAGAAAAAAATAATTTTTTTAAACAGTTTGGTTGGGACTGTATCAACAAAATAATTTTATGCAAAAAAAAAAAATTGTTTAGAGCAACGTTGACGGAGTGAGATGCGATTTCATCTATAGTCGCCTCCCTTTCCACTCGTTTTCTCTCCATATTTCGGGCGCATGGATAAGAGGTGGATCGGCTTCGCCTTCACATTGAGGTGGAAAGAGAGAATGACCATCTTGTTGAGCGAATGACCATTCCGTGATGTGATGAACTTAGCGAGCAGAATTTCAAATAAATTTCTTACCGTCAACATTGCCCTAAAGTTTTTTTTTTTCACAAAAAAAAAAAAAAAATTATTTCTTGACATGCCTGTTTCAACCAAACTGCTTAAAAAAAAGAAAAGTTTTTTTTTTTTAGGGTTTTACTGCAACAGTTTTGATAGGCACTTTTTTGGTTGTACAGGTGTTGAATTGTTTGGTGATGCAGTTGAAAAACAACTACTTTGTCAATTTATGAATTGACATGTTTTTTTTCTATTATATGAATGACGCAATATTTTTGGTTTTCCATTTTTATTGATATTGGCCTCTTGGTGTATATTTCTTTTGTCCCATTGCCTGCAAAAATCCCAAGGAGATTGGCAGTATTTTGAAAGAAAGAAATCTTAGCGCGATACAATGAAAAACGGGTTTTTGCGGGCCATCTGAAGTGGGTTCAAAGCGTAGATTGCCAAAATCAAAAAACATTGTTGCTTTTTTTTTTTTTTTTTATACACAATTGTAATCTGGCGTGCCCTGGGCAAGTTTGCAACAGAGTAGATGTGAAGGCAAATTCTGCATGGGTTTTTATGGTGTAATTTTCAGTTAATATTCAAATCACTACGGACAAAAGCAAAATAAAAAAACACCAAAAGAGCCAGTTTAGTGCGAGGAAACGTGGGCTAGATTATGTGCGTGCTATGACCCTATGAAAGGTTGCTCTTGTTTTAGAGATTTATATTCAAGTTTGCGAATGGACAAGTCGTGTCGTAGCGTGCTGCTTGTAACACCAAAACTTCGACGTAACAATATGGATGATGAAAGAAGAGATCTTTCCAGAAACACGGCAAATGTGGAGTAACAATTCCTTTGTTTACAGAGCGTCTTCTTTCGAATTCATGATGTAATGGCCGCGTATAGTTGGAAACAGAGACGGAAAGCTGTCAACCAATGAAATCTTACATTTTCACTTTAGCCAATGCTACAAACAATCATGCCACTCGTATATGTGTAGATACATGGGAATTAAATGTCTAGCTAAGTCTCCAACCACATTTTAATGAACACGAGTGACCGAATCCTGATTTTACACCAATGAATCTTACTCTGTAAAACGAGTTGGAAACATTGATGCCTGCAGATAGAAAGCTAGAACTTTCTCTACTAGTGCATTGAGGTGGTCAGTTTTACCTTGTGAAATTTCAAGGTGCATTTCTCTTTCCGTAAAAAAAGGTGCAGTTGTTTTCCTATAAAAAAAGTCAATGTATGTATGTAACTTGTGCCATCTCCCGAATGGTGCAGCAAGCCGACACGCATTTTGTTGTCTGCTCGCTGCACCTCTCGGAAGATGGCGTCACAAGTTAGGTTCATCGTTAACTCAGGGTCGTCTGCCAACGTGTCCGCCGTGGATTTTGGCAAGTTTGTTTGTCTAAATTTTTGCAGGAAGGGAACTACGTCTTGAAATTTTGCAAGGTAGACCGGACCACCTCGGTGCACATTTGGTGAAAGCTTGAACTTTTTATGTGCAGGTGCCGATTTTTCTGGTTCATTTTCAAGAAGATTCACTGTGCTCACCCCATATTTGTGACTCTTGAGTGTTCGTCGAGGAGTCGTTTACAGCCGTAATATGCACTAGTGCAGCACTGGTGCACGAGTGCAGTGCTAATGCAAGAGTGATGTGTGGGGCGACGCAAAGCGTCCCCTCCGAAAAGATTTGCCTCTTGGGAGAGATACCGTAAAGGCTATTTTTGTAAGCTCACTTACGTCGTCAAGTTTGTATGTTTGTTATCTCTATGGGCACCGTTCAACGTTCCAGGTCTGTCTTACAGGACCAATAAAGAATGAGAAGTTGACTGCTAGCGTTGGTATCACTTATCACCGCAACTCTCTCTGTGCCGACTGAAAATAACTTGTTACTTGTTTGATTGGGATACTGTCGAAACTGATTATAACAAAGTCAGTTATAACGAAATAGCGGCTACAGCGAAGCGATCATGATTTTTCATTCCCCTTTAGATTTCGTTATAACCGAAGTCGGTTATTACGAAATGGCGAAGGGATTTGTAATTCCCGTTGACTTCGTTATAACCGGTCACGACAGCAATATGTACTGCAGAAGTGGTTTGTGCTCTAGTCGTAATGATTAGGATGCTATGTGCATACAAGTGTGCATACAGAATCTGCAATATGTATTTGAATGGCATTTATGTCCCTCTATTCTGCTTACACACACAAGCATATTGATTTCAATACATTCTGGCAGCTTGTGTTCTAGTTATCAATATCTGCTGAGGATAATATGTAGCATGCCGCCGTCATCTCTGACCCCATCAAACGTGTAACGCTCAGTAAGCAGCATCTCTAATACCTCTGTCACACGGGCTTGTGGAGTACCATTCAGAATCAAGGCAGTTTAAAAATTGTAAAAAGAATTGACGAACCAATACACGTCGAGTGCAACTAACACGGTTGGAATTTCGAGCAAATTGGCTGCTCGCTCAAATGGCCTCTGGCTAATTGCCATTTGAAATGTCCGTGTGACAGCAGTATTAGTCTCGCAACAAGGATACTATGTTCTGCTTATTTTGTGGACACCTTGGGAGGCCAGTAGTAGAGTGACTCCTCCCAACACTCAACAGAAGATCTCAGAAGCTCGCAAACTTTAATGGACGCGATACAAGCGCTCAAGAGGAAAATGGAAGCGTGTGCCCCGTAGTGGAACGCCTCACTCAAAGCTACGAGACCAGGGAGAATTATTTTAAGTGCTAATAAGATGACCCCTTAAAGCTAGCGAAAAATTCCTGGGTGGTCTATTGAAAAACATGTTCACTTCTGGTCTCGGTGCTCACGGATGCCGGTGGGTTCCGGTGGTGCAACCGAGTGCGCCTAGCGGGTGCGGGCCCTGGGCAGGCAAGTGGCGTGCAGATTGCCGAGGACACCCGCGAAGCCCCTGGTCAGGGCCTCGACCACGCTGAAGATGAGCACGAAGGAGAAGCCCAGGTACATGCCCATGGTACCTCCCACGCTGGTCACCAGGGAACTTGTCTGCGGGAGGAATCGTGGAAACAGTAGCGACATCTACTGAGTAGCCCCAGTTCACTTCCAATCTGCATATTTCCCCGTGTTTTATGTGTTTCGCTTTGCGTCGTGGGCGTGAAAAATTCTGACAACGTTATAAGCGACCGTTTATCGTAGAGGGTGCACATGTTCGATTTCGCAAATATTGCAGACATTCGATCTAGTTTCGAAAATATACGCAGTCCGAATGTGGGCCTGGGCTCTCCGATAGATGGCGCCAGCGTGCTGGCTCTGATCTCGTGTTAATCTCGCGGCTGGTCACACTCGAACGTGATTGTGTGAAAAGCCTTTAGTGTTTTTGAAACGCCTTTAGTGAAAAGCCTTTAGTGGCTCAGCATGCTTTAGCAAGCATGCTGAGCCTGTGGATTACTCAGTTCAACTACTAATCGTATATATGATAAATTTTCGAACCCAAGTTACGTCCAAATCTCCGCCTTCCCTAGGTTCACGGGGGAGAGAGAGGAGGGCCGGGGGGGGGGGGGGGTTAGGTACACGCGTTTCAGTGCTCCGTCCGGACGTAACGCTAGCCACAGCGATATATTTCTAGATGCGGAGCATCTCTTGCTCGGGCTGTGTCCCGCGGCGTCGTAGTCCGCACTCACACTACGCATGCGCAACTCTCCTCGCTGCGCGTGCGTTCTCTCTCTCTCCAAGAGCTGCGCGAAGTGCACGCAGCTACCAGCTGCGTCCCTCTCCAACAGCTGCGCGTGCGTTCTTTCTCTCTTCAACAGCTGCGCGAAGTGCACTTCGCGTGCACTTCGCGTGCGTTCGCTTCTACTCACACCGCGCGCGCAGGCGCAAATCTCCTCTTCTAGTTTCTTCTCCTTCAAGTTTGAATATAAGCGGCGGTAGGCGCGCTGCGCGCGTTCAAGGGGAAAAAGTGGCCGAACAATAAAGAAAAAAAAAAAAGGTAGTGGCCGAGTGGGCTAAGGCGTCTCAGCTCGGAGCGTGGGGCGAAAGCTTGCGCTGGGAACCTCCTGGGTTCGAGTCCCCGTCACCCCCGCCCGTTTCGATCTGGATGAGTTTCGTACCGGCACGCGTTCGTGTGATCACTACTGCGTGATGCACGTTAAAAATCCCAGGTTAGCGGTTGTACTGCACTGGCTAAATTTCTCATCTACAGCTAAGAGTCCGATTACCCGTTGAGGCGCATCTCCATCAAATAAAGAGCAAACCAATTTCTGCGCGCGTTCAGTTCACCGCTGTTGACTCCACTTCACTCCGTTCTTCCGATGAAGTGTGATGGAACGATGCTCCGCATCACCCCATGGTTCCCCTCTGGAAGATGGTGTAATTTTTTTCTGACGTCTGCCACATGGAGGCGTAGCTGGTGTGGCATGGTTGCAGCTGCTAACCTCAATCCTAGTTGCATTGAAAATCTCGCATTCTGGATCAGTATGTTTCAGTTACATGGAATAATAGCGTAGATTTCTTCAGGATGCTGACGAAATGGTTCTTCCAGTTTTCTTAATTATGTTTTTATTTGGTATTGATAGAGGGATTCCAAGTTTGATTGTATCGAGAGCCTAGCGGCTTCGTCCGCCTGGATATTTCCGGGTGTGCCACTATGACCGAGATTTCATTGCGAGGTAATGCTGTCCCTGACTCGTTACATGCGTTGTGGGAGCTTTGTAGAACACTGTGGGTCAGTTAACTCAGCATTTGCGCTACACATGATGTTTATTTTTTAAGCTTTACACATTTGTTTTAAAAGAATCCATGGAAGGTACACTAATGCAGTCTATACACCCGTGTTATACGGGCACGGGGAGATACTGTAGGTGGCTACTAGTCACGATAAGCTGAATAATGAACTAAAATTTGTTAACTTTTTCATTAGTGGAATTAAAAATACGGTTTCAATTAGAAACTTGCTGTGCGCCAAAATCAATAGATGATAAATTTTCAGAAATCCTAGCTTCGAGCGTGTGGGGAGTGTCCTGCGCTGAAGCATAGCCTAATTCTAGAAAGCCTGTCGAATTCACGAAGGAGCCATTGAGCGCGCGGCCGTTGGAAAAAGGTGGGGAGCAGCGTCGAAGGGTTACCCATATGGTAGTGCAGAGCCACTTCTGAGGTAACGTAGCCCACGCAACTCTTCAGCCAGCGCCAACAATACGCGTGGTGACCTCTCCGCAAAACAACAAGCCGTGACGAAAAAAAAAAAAATGGAAGTCTACCGGCGCGTGAAGAAACGGGGGAGGGGCGGACTAGGGAAGGATCGATGCGAAATGTTCTCTCCTCCCCCCTCCCCCTCCCCCCCCCCCTCCACAAAAAAAAAAGCGCGTTTTTGTTTTGGATTTTACCGCTGGGGCATTGTTTGGCGCTGCCAGAGAGAGCCCCTGCGCACGCCTTCTTCTCTGGTCTCATTTCCCCTTTCCAGCGGCCGCGTTCTTTCGCGATTTTACAAGCTTTCTAGAGTAAAGGAGGGCATGGCTGAAGTTCAGCGTGGTTCCCACGTGCTACAAGTCTTGCTTAAATAGACTGATTTAGTGGTGTTCGATGACGCTCAGCCAGTTTCTCATTAAAAACTATATGTTTGACTTTACAAATGAAAAAGGTTATCAACATATCTAAGTTTATTATTGAACTCACCGCGACGAACAGCACGCACCTACAAAGCCGCATTAATGTAGCTTTCACGACATTATTAAATGAAATCAGTAAAGCCTAGAAGAATACCCTGTATATTTTTTTTGTATATGCAACTGAGCACCTGCAGCAGATTTAGGGCATGAAAATTGTCTAACTTAGGGAGTTTTGGAGGGTCCTTCAAATTGTGAAAGAGCTGTAAACCGATGTTCTTCACGATAAAAAAAGAAAGAATAAGAGATTTGGTAGAACGGAACTGAACTTGCTAATGTCCCAATGAGCACTGTCCACCCATCTGATTGTTATACTTGTCTTTTGAACGCGGATTCGTTGTGTACCTGGTTTTAAACCCCCTCCGCATACTGATACTATCATGGACACATAAAGGCGACTCAAACTTCCCGCCGTGTGGAGGCGCTGCCCGTGATCCGAGCCGACAACTTCACGACGCTTCAGCGGTCAGTTTCGAACATTTCCAAAACAGAAGAAACATACAAACATCCTTACGGAAATCTTGGCGTAACGCTTGCGTTTCTCGACTTTTTCTCCGTCGACGTAGATCACAAGCTTCGCCAGGGCCCTAAAATAGAGAAACGCGGCTTAGTGTAATTGGGCTGCCACTCACTCCCCCTGGGAGCCGATAAATAAACTACGCTTCGGAGTAACGACACGCGTCGGGCATTTTGGTGCATTTCAAATATCCTCATCGCCAGTTATCCGAAACCTTATCGCAAATCGCGAGAAACGTTTTTTCGTCCTCCAGAAAGGTTAAAACTGTCGACTACAGTGTAATACAATGCCGTCTGAGCTTCCGGACACCGCAACAAATGCCGAGGAAGCATAACACATAATATTAGGAGTGGAAGTTCGTCTGCTTCTTTTGCGGGGGTTGAGGGTGACTTCAGAAGGCTGAGCTCCGACTGACTCTCACTGAAGGATAGTCGGGTGATCTCAAGGCAGCTTGGTTTGAGGTCTACCCACTATCCTTCATTCAGAGCCAATCAGAGCTCGGCGTTGTGACGTCACCACAACCCCTGCAAAAGAAGAAATTGAACAAATTGTTTGAGTTGTAACAGAACGTGCAACTCCGATGTCAAAGGCTCGTTTCTTCCTCGTGTGACGGTTGGTCAAACTGTCTGCAGACATGGTTGAAACATTTGTACGATGTTTGGGGACTGACTTAGGC